AGCGAACATTTCAATTACATTCGATTTCGTGGAGACTGAGCTTTACCGCATGATTTTTCTATTTGGTCGCGACGCTGCAAATGATACGAGCGAGCGGCGGCCAGGGGAGCTCTACACCTTGCATACAAATTGAACACGTAAATGAGATAACACCCTGTTTACATGAAGGTGGGACCGTGTTACAATAAAACCGGGTAATGGGAATTCTTGATACGGCAAATTGTTTTCGTAACGGAAAATGTTTTGAGAGCATTTCCTATGTCGGGCTATGTTGGCTGTTGTTTTAAATATCTAATGCCGAAGATGCTTTCCGTGCTACTGTGTACACCGGTGTGACCTTTGATGTTGTAACATAATAGGGTTGAAACTCTGTCGTGGTACTAGCACTGGTATTAGGTTACTGTACTACTATAACAATAATCATAATCTATATGTATCGGGCTTATATTCTGCTTGAAGTATCTAATTAAAGCGCGTCGTACTCATGTTACTTTGCTAATCTAGACTAATTATAAACGAGTACCGATCGTTTAAGCGCATCGAGAGGATCAAGTTAATTAAAAACCGCCGTCGCTAATGGATTCGTCCCACATTTTCGAACAATATCCTGTTAATACAACATCGGACATTTCGATGTTATTCCATTTTGTTGATATTGCCAATATTCTCCTGGGAAATTGAATTACTGGAGTGTTGGTTAGTCGATTTCTTTGTTTATGTCGAGAGTGTTAACTTGTTCTCAATTGTGTCGTATCTTCCAAGTTCTGGTTAAATCCTTGGCCGATAGTTTTATATGTAATAAGTGTTATTTTGTTGAGTTAACATTAAAGAGTTGTTGATTGCTTTTTATTTGCGCAGAGCATCCCGTTTTTATTAGGAAACCGTGTGCGCAACACGATCTCATTTTGAAGTGCCCTTGATTCTCGTTCCATGAGTGCACACTGCGCTTAAAATATTCGTACTTAACTTATAACTATAAGAAAAAACGTGCAAAATTAAATTCTACTTTCCAGTAGCTTTACAGGGGAAGAATTAATATAGTGAAACATCCACAAAAAATCCTTAGCGGTGTTCAAAGCCGCAGCAAAATTCGCACTGTGTTTTTTACAGGATTAGCATACGTATGAACTTGCAAAATAGTTCGGAATTATATTTTAGTTAAGGTATTTAGAGAATTTGTTGCAGACAAGAAAGAATTTCGATTAACATTCTGTTGTTTTGTTTTACTTGTTTTATGGTTTTCATAACTGGAATATTCAGCATATCTGTATCGTTGTTTTAAAACTGTCGATGCAAAACCATTTTCTAATGCAGGTTTGGAAAAGTCACGAACGTAACTTTGTTGTAAAAGTAACAAGGAAGTCATAATCTAACGATTACTTAAGACACGCCTATCATCATCTAAAAATTTAATTAAAGATTACTCCATGCAGATTTGAATGTTAATCAAGATTTCATGCTTGTTTAGTTCGCGATAACCTTTTAACCCTGCAACCCGTAACTATATAATTACACAATATCCTTACATCACTTGCCTAAACTACCGAATTACTGTAACAGATGAACAAAATACTACTATCATGAACACGACAACACAATTAACAATTTACACCAGTCAATATGAGCGTGTCATTTAACAAATAATTGTCTTTCGCAATTAACATCGACGCTGTAATGTTATGTCATTATTGATAGGTGAATTCAAAATGGCCGCCGCTAATGAATTGACGTTTGTTTTAAACTGTCAATATGACGTTTTTAAATGGATGGCCGTTATTGCTTGGTGGTGGTTTGGTCACTCGTTAATGACTTTAATCGTGCTTTTAATTATTTCGGTTGTGATAAATTTAAATTTTATTTTATTTCTCTTAAGTGGATTTTCGCGTATGTATTCGTTGCTTCAATTCTAGATGGAGGTAAATAGTTGGAGTATTAATCCATTATTGATTCATTGTTACCTTAGACTTATTTTTAATGGAAATTTGGACTAGAGGATAATCTTATTATTAAAATTTCATAATGAAAAAAACAAACCCGTTGCAAGCATTGGGCATTGTATGTTTTGGAAATCAACGATGAAAGTGACAATAATTTTTACCGGCCTGAATTAAATATAATTAAGCTAATTTTTCATAAATATCTCTATTAATGCTCGAAATTCACATTTTAGACACGAGGCACCTGTCGATACGAACCCGAGTTGTAATTAGCTATCCATTAATTTGGTTTATGATTAGTTTTCGTTGGTGAAGCAAAAGTTATTAGCTTATTGTGACGTATTGGGTTTGGGATAGGTACTTAAATTGAGACCGACCTGTATGGATTGTACTGGTACTGTATTGTACTCCTTAGATTATATAGCTATTATTTAATGATGGTTAAAAATGTTTAAATGTTTAAATATAAAAATAATGATCAAAATTATATTTATTAAAATTGAAATATATTAAATAATGCTTGTTTTGGTTTTTAATTGCAATCGGTAACTCTTCGAAATCGGTACCTAGTAAAAAAGTAAAGTAGTTTTTTGCTGATATCCTTTGCCTAAAAGCTAGAAATAGTGGGGTAGACAACACGAAGCCAATTACTCACAAGTTGTTCTCGAAATTATTCAGGACGAATTCGAAAGGATTTCGCCCAGAAGGATTTCGGAGACAAAGACGAGATTTTGGATGAAATTAAATTTTCAAAAGGATTTATCGATATTGGATTAAGGTTTACTTTCCTACTTTCTCAGGATTTTCGTGGTCGGTTTACAAAAATTTTGTTTATAAATGAGGTTAGAATACACACACACGCACACTTAAACATTTAATTTGTCGATAGTCTTTTTTAATTTTCATTGTTCGCAATTTTCATTTCTTACTTCAATATGAACAAAGTAATAAAAAGTCCGTTACTCAAAATATTTCAAATCTGCCGGAAAGATAGTCCATAATAATAAATGACTGCAAACGACATCGCAGCTCCTTTTTCGTATCTTCCGATCTCTACATCAATAATTCTCACAGGGATCTTGTAGCTGGACCGAGCTCTTTCGAATCCCACCCTTACACTCTCAAATACACATTTATATTCACCGCTTACAGCTTTTATGTCCTAACATTCAATATATAAAAGCCAATATTTTAGGCTTTAACCCAGAAAAAGATGTAAGTACCTATTTTTTACAACTTTCTTCCATCTATAAAACACGTTTATATTATACCTCTTAAAGGTATCTAAGGATAAGAAAACATGGTAATCTTCAGTTTTCACCTATACCTATGAGAAAAGGGGTAAATAATGTTTACAAAGCGTCTATTCTGAGAAAGAAATTAATAGGCATCTATCGATCATTACCACGACTTGAACCAAGAAAATTTATAACTATGGTGTGCAGTGCACTAGAAACCGAACGACTTATTGCAGTATTACGTATAAAATGTATAGATAAAGCTGTATTCTGCCAAAGAGCAGATGAAACCGCAACGCTTGTATGAACGTGACCCACTGAGGCAGAAACCGAATGCGCGTCTGGGGAAACACTTACGCTACCCAGATGGATTGCACTAGATCTTTAAGTTAAATCCTCCTATTCTTTGCAGCTGTTGAAAAACTTCTTTGTAGATATTCTTGGATTGTTTCTATTTAGACATTATGTACAAAGAGCGAATAAAACCCATGTTGGTAATAAAATCATTCAGCTATATTATAGTTCAAAATAACCTCGTTAGGTAAACATAACAGTAAAATAACCACGATATAAAGCAAATTGCTCATAACATATTCATAGTGTCATGTACAGCTTTAATTTATTACCGATCTACGATTGGATTGGTTTTGTTTGATAAACGACATATAGAACAATATGTCATGTTACGCCAATGACAGTGGATAAATCACAAATCCAATATGGCGGTATCAATCAGTTCTTATTTTAATAGAAATAAACGATTAGTTGATCTTGATATCTGCATGATTAAGTACATAGAATTGTCAAAGACTTTTAGGATTTGAATATGCCTTTGTGGATCTGAATCAAGATAAGTTTCATCTTGATCTTTTCCCAAGTGGGCCGTAAGATGTGACAAGGGTTATATTGGATGGCTAGGAAACAGCTCACATGTTTGAAGATAAAAAGAGACAAATCAGAATGTTAGATAACAGAGACATCAAAATGCGACATTTGATTGTTCTGATGAAGAGAGTTCTTTTAAGCAATTCTTTTGTTGTATTATTTTCTAATTCAGTGACCCTTATCAGCAGAAATTTCGCTTGTTTCTCCACAACAGCCTTATTTAATCAACACTCTACGGTTTATATACACACCAAGCAAATATACGCACAAAACTGCGTCGTTTTGCGTTAAAAGTGGTGTTTTCTGTATTCGACCAGCACAATATGCGTGCTCAAATAGCAACGACCTCTCGCGTGTGTCAAAGGCAAACACTCGAGCTGCTTTGAATGGTGTTGCTAAGGTGCTTACTCCGGCCAAGTTATATTAATCCTTAGGGCAAAAGCCTTGGAAATGTGACTCCTGATATACGTAAAGCTAAGCTAAAACTGTGTTGAGGAAAAAAGTTTTGTTGACATTTTTATTTTCGTTGTTCAGTTCTGAATTTAGAGCGTAACTGATTTGCCTGCGGCTTTATTAACGAATGACTGATTAACACATTCTGCATACTGATCATCTATTCGTTAATTTTGCACGCTAAATGTGGATCAACGTATGAACAGGGTATTGTTTGAATTAATTAATGCTTGTTATCAAATTATTGTAGGTAAAATTTGTAGACATGTTTATGCAATTGTGTTTATAATAAATCTGTGGAGCCGTGATAGAGATTATAAACCGTTTGATTTGACAAAAACATTATAACAATACATTTTAAGCTTCACTTTGATAGTGTCCCAGGCTAAAAAACGATTTTTCGGAACATTAGGAAGGAAACTACTGTCTCATCATTCGACTTCATGAGCAAAAAGTAATGGATTAAAGCCAGTGCTATATATCTTACCATCATTGATGAATGGGTAGATAGACCGCAGCTCTGCTTCGTAAGCCTCGAGAGATATCGCTGGTGCTATCGGAGGAACGTAATCGTCTTCTGGTGAACGTTCCGAACCGTAACCCTGGTCGAAGCCAGGGTCTTGGAGCTTCCAAACTGGTTCTGCGTCGGAACCTGAGAAGAAGAGTGATGGTTAGACATTTGTTAGTGTAAATGTTTTGTGACTAGACATAAAATGTTATTAAAGAAATAATATTAACGAAAACATATTTCGCTGAATTGAAAATTGTACAAAGCTAACAATATTGTCGATACTGAAGTTAAACTTGTTCTGTGGGAGCGATGGAGCAGAATTGAGCCAAGTGAATGGAATCGTATAGTAGATACGACGTCTAGTAGTTACAAGTCAAATCGATTGAACTCGAAAGCGTATCCTTACAACTTACGAACGCGGTACTCGAGTCCGTATGTTCAATCAATGGAAACTTTAGCAACAACTGCTTATTATGTATTTGTAAATGCGGTCTTCATAGTTCAGTATTCTACAGACGTAAAGTTGACCGTTCATTTATTACGTATAGTTCCCTCGTGTAAACCAAAGATACTCCTTTAATATTCCAAGAAAATCACGAAACCATTGATATTTATCCCAGGAGCATTTTACAGCTTATGGTGAACGTATTATAAATACATATTACATGTAATGTATGTACGCGACTCTTGGGAATATCTTTTGGCAAACAGTAAGATTTCGTAGGAACACTCTTTGTTCGTAAATCTATACGAAACGAATCTTTATCACGGTGAAATAAGGTTTAATTTTAGAATTTTAGATTTATTCCTGTTTGCGGATAGCCGAGCACAAAGTAGCAATGTTTCATGTGATATGTAAAGAAATTCTAATAATTTTCTTCTGTTTCCCCGACTGTTGATTGGCATTTATTTTATCGGGGTTTAATAGCAAATAATGTGGATTATCTTTTGTTTTTGGGGTCATTCAATTGTTGTAACCCTTTTGTGTTGACGGTTGGTTAGATAAACCGGTCGCCCGTATTTTGTAACGAAATGTCCTAGCGCATGACTATTAAAAAAATCCGATCAATATTTTCAGAATGACTATTTGTATACTACGGCATTTATTTAAATAGATACGGGAACGAGGCTTCGTATGAAAATAAGGTACGTATGTTTAGTTTGAAGCATATTCTTACGTGAAAATGTATTATGTATGAAGGAACGGCGGGTAAAATATCGCTTTGCGTGCTTCGGATTAGTTAGGCGGCTCTGAATATGGCGGAGTACGTTTGATTTACGTTATAACCCCATAGGAACCTAGTCACTACTAAATCTAGCCAGTTATTTAACTGTATATTAATTTTCTATGACCAATGGTCATTTGTTAGAAATGCCAGTGTCTAAAATAATCACGTGATTGTGGTTTTCATGGGATTCGAATTGGTTTTATCTATGGACGTATCAGACATGCGATTTTGTCATTACACAGGGAACTCGTTCTGTTTTTCTGTAGTTCATTGAATCAGTGGCACTTAATAGTGGTGGTATTTTTTTCTATCCGCACCCTTACCGTAATATATGATATTGAAATTGTGTTCATTGTAGCGATAAGCCGAAACTGAGTCCCAAGATGTTACCTATACTTTGCCTCCTAATAGGGTCTTTTCTATGTTAATAAGGTCATTATCATATTTATAATATGTACTTGGTAGTTTCCTAAACAAACTGGTGTTGTGGTTAAACCGTAACTTTCATGATATCGATTCACTAGTGTGGGTTCAAGGTCACTGCTGCAGCATTCACATACGCAATTCTTAACCTTGCGCATAGGAAATGTAGCTTCAATTGTTAGCTGCATTTTCATCTAGGCAGATTACACTGTTTTATATAGAATTAAGAAATTATAGCTCAAATTGACAAAAGTTTATTTTAGAGAAAGAATTAATATAGTATAATGTAATCGGCGTCGCAAATGGACTTCAGCAACACCAGAACAGTTAGACGTTGTCAGCATTTTGAGGGTTAGGCTTGTGGATTTGGTGATAAGGTATGGTGGAAGAGCGAAGATTAAGTCTCCACAATACAATAAGCGAATACAATGAAAGCGTTGTTTGACGGCGTTTTACTGCGAGATTTTGGTATCAATCCGGTCGAGCCGAGCTATTCGTGCCAAAGCATGGCTCTCCCACACCTTTTTATAAGTTTTCTGTTACAATACGTCCACGTGCGTTCCTAGCGATACAAAACCCTTTGTATCCTTTGATGACGCCCACGACTAAAAAATAACACATTGGTATTATCCATTTTTAGGCTACCATAGCCAAAGGGTTAAAAGGTTCGGTATTACTAAGCCGTCCTACGCGTTTCCCAATTCACTTAATATGTATGTGTACAAATGTATCGGTTGAATAATATAAAATTTAAGTTGGGGCTCTGGGAACACAACAGGCTATGAAACAATAATTCTTTTGTAACGAAATAGATGCGTATTTCATACGATGGTGTACCTATATTATCATCATGTCAACATAGGTTCTAGATCTTATATTAATTTTTATTAAAGTAGTGTTCATTTTTAGTGCTATACAATACATATTACAATACAATACATATACAACGGTTGGCGCGGTGGCTGGGCAACAGGCTGCCGCGCAACGTGTCGCGGGTTCGATTCCTGCACGGAACAACTCTTTGTGTGATCCACAAATTGTTGTTCCGGGTCTGGGTGTGATGTGCACGTGAAATTGTATGTTTGTAACCGCACCCATGACACAGAAGAAAATCCTAATATGGGGCAACGTTTTTTAAAAAATGAAAAAATAAATGAAAGCTAAGAAGACCATCCGTATATTGTAGGTCTTTAAGTCTCTTACTGGCTTTAAATCAAAAGATTCTTTAGTACACACACTGGTCAAACATTCACATAAATCAAAGAAATGGAGCGAAAAGCCCACAACTCGCAAAGAGGTTTGGGCGAAAATTTTCAAATTTGTTTCAGTAACGGCCTCTGTGCCCAGTGAGCATAGTGGGGTAAAAATAGGTAGCAACGAGCTTAAAATAGAGGGGACACAAGTTCGCAATGTGTGTGGACATAGGCTTTTGTTAGTGAACCTATTGCTTTGTTGGTTTTAGTCTACGAGTGGCGGTGTTAGCTGTTGAAGTTTTCAAGGATTTACGTCCCGAAAATATAGGCTGTATGTAACTATCCATTTCTGATTTTAACTGACCAAATGAATATACATTAATTCGTTCTTCGGCCCTTGGAGGGTAGGGAGGAGGAGAATGATGGCTGACGTGCTTAAACTTTTAGCCTGAAAATGAAAATTTGTAGAATTAATAGTTAATTTTTCAGTCACCAGCCGCGCTGCTGGTGAGTAGTATCTGTGAAGTTAGCTCCTTATTAGTGCAAGTACATGAAGTTAGTTGAATTATGTTCAAATTTCTTTGCGGCATTGGTTAGCGCACAACAGCACGGTTTTATTGAGACAGCTTAGCAATCATAGCGCTTCACTTATTTTGTTCTTATTTCTGGGATACTATTTTCTACAGATATCGTTCTCCTTACCTCTAACCTCTATGCTTCGGCCTCTGAATATAAATAAGTTTTTTTTTATATAAAATAACCCTAAAAAATTTGCATATTAACTTTATGACACTTGTATTAAGAATTTCATTTGAAATAGGAAATTTTGAACTCAAATAATATTTGACCTCCCAAAGCTAAGTTTAGAGTAATGAATCTAGAGTTCTATTCAGTTTCAGGACACAAGTTTCGTAGTGTAAACACTGCTGTAACCTCCTCAGTGAATAGTCAGCAGACTGTGTAATGTTCATGCATAATCATGATATTAATTATTTACGAATTCCCACTCGAGCTTTGCACTATCCCTTTCATTAATTAAATCTGCGTCAGCATCATCTTCAGTATTTATTTAATAATAATTTGATTAAAAATTCACGCACGCACGACTCATATTTGCGTAAAACGTCATGTGAATGATATCTCATCCGTGAATTTTAACATGAGGATGTAATCATGGAATAATTTTTTACACGAAGTTGAATGTTATATGAGTGAACATTTGTCTTGGAATATTATTGTATGTGTATTCTAAAACTGAAATGAAAGTTTGGCTAAATGAAACATTGTACATTATGTATAAGTGCGGGAGAGTTTCAGCACGAAAACGTTGGGTGGGCTCGATCGGAGTGATACCACGGCCACACAAAAAACCAGCGTGAAAGATCAAGTTACCAGCTGGTCCTATTATTCCCCTCCCCCGATCACTAAATCTCCAAATCTATTATCTCCAAAAGGTGGCCATGGGCGGCGCTGATTGCTTGCTATCAGGTTATTCGTCTGCTCGTTTGCGGATCTATCACAAAAAAGAACTATGTTTCCTAGTAATATTTTTGCTGAGTTTCTGAAATTCCTGACTATTTTCCTTAATTTCATCGAAAGAGCCAGACAGTGAAAAAATACGAAACTTTATTGAGTGTGCAATGATCGTTTGACCTCTATAGATCAAGCGTGATCGACGTTTGATAGACATTTCTCGGAAATAGCTAACCTTATTCAATCTAGCTCCAAATGTACGTCGATTTCCACCTGATACACTCCTGTTATAATTAATTGTATTCTATTTACGTAAAAATGGTCGCGTAAAGGAAACATGTTCTCGGAAAAAAGTCCTCGAAAAACGTCCTTTAACGCACTGTTTACTGAATCTCTCCGTTTGTTTACGGAAAAAAAATGCGCAAGTTCAAAGGTCGAAAACAAAATATGGAATTTTCAGATGTGTATTTATTTTATAAATTATTATTTTGTATTTGTTGTTTGTTATTTGTATTATTTAATTGAACAAATATTTTTCGAGAATTGATTATTTTCAGCACTATTTATAAAATAAGTTATTTGTAAAAACAATTACTTTAACAGTTGTTTACTATTCCTAAAATATATACCTACTGTTATAATATTGTAATATAACTAATATTATAACTGCGAAAGTAACTCTGTCTGTCTGTCTTTTTTTCATGCCTAAACTACTGAACCGATTTCTGTGAACTTTGGTACAGACACAGTTTGGAACTCGAGAAAGGACATAGGATAGTTTTTATACAAAAAATCTGTAGGAAGTCACTATTCCACAAGAAGT